TAAAAGCTCCAATGCATTCTCATCGTCACCTTCCTCACATCCTGCATCTGGCCCTACTACCACTAAGGAGCATCCAACACCTTTTGTGTCTAAACCAACAGCATTGCGTGACACTACATTTACTACAAAAGGCTCCAACATATTTTCAGCTGCACCTTCTTCCCAGCCTAAACCAAGCCCTACTTCTGCTGCTAAAGAAAGTCCAACAGCGTTTGTGTCTAAACTCGCAATTTCACAAGACACTACCACAAAAGGCTCCAACGCATTCTCTACTTCATCTTTTTTGCAGCCTGCATCGCGCCCCAACTCTGCTGCTAAAGAAAGTCCACCAGCTTTTCAGTCCAAACCCACAGCTTCACACGACACTACTTTCAGCACAACTATCACCATCAGCCCTGCTCCCACAGCTGCTCCTCATACATCGCCTCCTACCTCTGTCACTGCAGCTAAGACACGGGAGACCAAGCTAAAATTTCTTGAACCGAACACGTCAAAGGATGACGAGAAAATGAAAACAACCTTCAGCACTGGTATAAACAAAGGTCAGGCTGTGACTGGTAAGAGACTAGAAGGGATCCCAGGTCAGCCTGTAACTGTGGTTATCAATGTTAAGGATACAGACAAGGGTGGAGCCGCAGCTAAAACAATTCCTGTGGGTGGCAGGGCGACCACAAAACAGGAAAATGTTGACAGCAATAAGACAAAAGCCTCAGCAGCAACTTTCATCTCCAAAAAACTGTCAGAGGAGAACAACAATAACAGCAGTAAGCCAGCATGGACAAATGTAGCTCTCAAGAAAACTGAGTAAGTAAAACAAATCTCAAAAACATGATTAATTTTACATCCTATACAGGTACTGGTCATAAAATTAGAATATCGTGAAAAAGTTGATTTATTTCAGTAATTCCATTCAAAAAGTGAAACTTGTATATTACATTAATTCATCACACACAGACATATATAATTCAAATGTATATTTATTTTAATGTTGATGATTATAACTGACAACTAATGAAAACCTCAAATTCAGTATATCAGAAAATTAGAATATTATTTAAGACCAATAAAAAAAGGATTTTTAGAAATGTTGGCCAACTGAAAAGTGTGAACATAAAAAGTATGAGCATGTACAGTACTCAATACTTAGTTGGGGTTTCTTTTGCCTGGATTACTCCAGCAATGCAGTGTGGCATGGGGTTGATCAGTCTATGGCACTGTTTAGGTGTTATGAGAGCCCACGTTGCTCTGATAGTGACCTTCAGCTCTTCTGAATTGTTGGGTCTGTTGTTTCACATCTTCCTCTTCACAATAACCCATAGATTTTCTATGGTGTTAACGTCAGGTGAGTTTGCTGGCCAATTAAGTACAGGGATACCATGGTCCTTAAACCAGATACTGGTAACTTTGGCACTGTGTGCAGGTGCCAATACATGTTGAAAAACGAAATCGGCATCTCCGTAAAGTTGGTCAGCAGCAGAAAGCATGAAGTGCTCTAAAACTTCCTGGTAGACGGCTGCGTTGACCTTGGACCTCAGAAAACACAGTGGACCAACACCAGCAGATGACATGGCACCCCAAACCATCACCGACTGTGGAAACTTGACACTGAACCTCAAGCAACATGGATTCTGTGCCTCTCCTCTCTTTCTCTAGACTCTGGGACCTTGATTTCCAAAGGAAATGTAAAATAGACTTTCATTAGACATTTCATTAGACATAATTTTGGACCACTCAGCAGTCCAGTCCTTTTTGTCTTTAGCCCAGGTGAAACACTTCTGACACTGTTTCTTGTTCAAGAGTGGCTTGACACAAGGAATGCAACAGCTGAAACCCATGTCTTGCATACGTCTGTGCTTAGTGGTTCTTGAAGCACTGACTCCAGCTGCAGTCCACTCTTTGTGAATCTCCCCCACATATTGGAATAAGTTTTGTTTCACTATCCTCTCCAGGGTGCGGTTATCCCTATTGCTTGTACCTTTTTTTCTACCACGTCTTTTCCTTCCCTTCACCTCTCTATTAATGTGCTTGGATACAGAGCTCTGTGAACAGCCAGCCTCTTTAGCAATGACCTTTTGCGTCTTGCCGTCCTTGTGCAAGGTGTCAATGGTCGTCTTTTGGACAACTGTCAAGTCATCAGTCTCCCCCATGAATGTGTAGCTTACAGAACTAGACTGAGACCATTTAAAGGACTTTGCAGGTGTTTTGAGTTAAGAAGCTGATTGGAGTGTGGCACCACGTTCTTCAATATTGAACCTTTCACAATGTGCTAATTTTATGAGATACTGAATTTGGGGTTTTCATTAGTTGTCAGTTAAAATTATCAACATTAAAATAAATAAACATTTGAAATATATCAGTCTGTGTGTAATGAATGAATATAATATACAAGTTTCACTTTTTGGATGGAATTACTGAAATAAATCAACTTTTTCCACGATATTCTATTTTTATGACATGCAGCTGTACATCAGCACTTTAGTCCTGTGGGTGTTTAAAGTGCTCTATAAATAAAGTTGGTATGGTATCTTGCATAAGCCTGACCTCTGCTGGTGAGGAGTAGCATTTAACTGTTCAATTCTTCAGACCTCAGGCTCAAGTAGAGACAACTAAGAAGGAGACGGGGGGTGTGAGGGGCAGGGTGAGGCTGAGAGCAGACCCATCGATCCTTGCTGACCTGCAGCCTCAGGAGCCTCAGAAGCCTTCTTTCAGCCCGCTTGGCCAGAAAGGACTCGCAGACAGGACTCCAGACAGAGGAGGCTTACACCTCGACAAAACCTCCCCCAACACATCAGGTGAAACTCTCTCTCTTTCATAAATGAGCATGTTAGCATCACTGCTAGTAATTCAGCTATATATTTGTTTACAGTCCAAGATATGTAACCTATTTATGGTATCAAACAGCATCTATTAGTCTTTTATATTCATGTTCACGACACAAGAAAACAAGATGTATGGCCAGTCTCTGTTTAAAAAGGCTGAATGGGACTGAAATTTGCTCAGAAAAAATTACAAATTACGCTCCAGACACCACCGCAAAAGGTGAAAAACCACGAAGTAGGAACGCTACATTTATTTTAATATTTATATATATTTTAAGGCTTTTTAAACCCTTCCCACACTCTTGAAATGTTCTTACCAATGTTCTGTTGGAATCTGCAGATTCCGTCTTCACAGTCGTCTTATTGTGGGAACTAACCACCCTCTTTGCGGAGGTGTTGTAAGTCACTGCTGCCGTAGACCTGATATTCTTCTCGTCCTTCTTGATCAAGTTCAAGTTTGTCATTCACATCACATGTGGTACATGAGGTGGAATGAAATTGTGTACTCAAGGTCCTAGTTACATCCAAAAATGGCAAAAATATACAGTATAAAAAGAAACTGTATACAAGGATCTAAGATATACACTAAGACAGGGGTTCCCAAACTTTCCCATGCCTTGGCCCCACAAACAGCATTAGCTTCTGGCCGAGCGCGAGCCCGAGAAACATCAACTTTTAGAATGTTTTAACTTTTATTCACTATAACAAAGTCCATGCTCAATATTCCAGGTATACAATCCAACATTTTTCAGTAAGGTCATCTGGACAGTTTCTTTTTTTTGTGCTGAAATGTTTCGCCTTCGATCCAGAAGGCTTCATTAGTCAAGGAAACGCAACACAAAACTGATTCTTCCCCCAACAGCTTACTCCAAAGTGGAACAAACCAGTTCTGCTTGTGATTAGATGGTCTCTTTGGTACTCCCCCTCCTCCATTGCCGGCCCTCTTCCTTGTTGACAGTCTTGTCAAACTGGTTGAAAACAACAAAGTCTATGCTCAATAATCCAGGTATAAAATCCAACATTTTTCAGTCAGGTCATCTGGACCGTTTCTTTTTTTGTGCTGAAACGTTTTATTCACTATATTCAATTAATTATTAAAGCTGCTGAGCATAAAAAAATGTTATTAACTAACATGTTTTAAACATATTCCCACTGAAAAAAACAACAACTTTTCAACAAACTGTTGACCAGAAGAACAAAACAAAAGAAATCTAATCTCTCTCTCAAGCGTGTTTATCTGGAAATGACAGATACAGATTGCCCTAGTGGGTAATTTTTATTATTATTATTATTACTATTTATTTATTTATTTTTAAAATCTTCATCTCTCCAGGTTTCTGGGGCCCTCGTGATGCACTGGGGGGGCCGCGGTCCCCACGTTGAAAAACACTGCACTAAGATATACACTAAAGGAACTCCAAACAGTACACTAGAAAGTCTGAGATATACGCTAAACAGTAATGATACAAAACAATACAGCGTATCAAACAGCAGCCAGAACATCAAACTAAACGATATAGCGAACCGTAGATTTCTTCATCATGTGACGGCGGCCAACAGCCACGTAGGTTCTCCCTTCAACAAGTCGAGAAGCTCCACCTTGTCTTTTATCGTAAGCATTTTTCTCTGGCGCTTCGGTTCGCTGCCTGAAACTTTAGAACGCGCAGAATTTTTTGGTGGCATCGCAGGGCTTGAAACAAAATTCACCAAAGAGCCCAGCGAAAGAGAGCAGACGGTCTGCGACGTTACTGAGCCAGTCAGCGCCCAGGATACAGAGCACAGTGCTCCGGTTGGTCGCCATCCATGAATCAGCTAATACAGTTTTACATTGAAAAACCGCTAAAGAGTGAGTCTGTACCTTTTTACAGAGGCAAAACATAGCTAAGATACCGTATTTTTCAGACTATAAGGCGCACTTAAATCCTTGAATTTTCTCAAAAATCAACAGTGCGCCTTGTGTATTAATTCTGTTTTTACTTACCGACCTCCAACCGATTTTATGTGGTTATTGTGAATGAGTTGAATAAAGTTTGACGACTCGGACTGTTTTGTTTCGGTTATTGCGCCTTATATAATCCGGTGCGTCTTATAGTCCAAAAAATACGGTAATTGTTTGGTTTCGGAGCGGAGATTTGCCCACACTTATACTTTTACAGACGCAGTTTTCACAGTGATGATCATTGCAACTAAAATAAAGTAATTCACTTCCCTGAAGAGTCCAAGAGCTTTTTTTAATTTTTTTTTTTTATAAATCCTGCACCAGTTCGACCGTCACACTTCAACACACAGTCGGGCTTCATCACAAGAGCTTGTGTTGGCTTTAAGAATGCATCTGGACACTTTGAATAGAAATGTAGCCAGTCAGCCCTCTGTTTTAGTTTGGTTATCTAGTCCTTGTTTGCTCCCTTTATTTTTTCTTTTGGGCTTGACTATATATTTCTGTTTTCAATAACGTCAGTTTAAAGTGAATTCAGACCTTTAATATTATCCCCATCATAAAATCAAAATAGAACTGAAGCAGCACTTTTGCAATTTCTTTCTTTTTGTTTGTTTCAGTCTCAGAAAATGAGTCTCCTGCAGACTGGAGGTCGAAGCTCAAACCTGTCTCCAAAGAAACCAAGTAAGAGTTCATTTATCGACTGATTGATGTTGTTTTGGGGCTTTTTTTCTGAGTTCTCTCTCCATTTCGGCTCATGTTCCTGTTGCCATAACAACAGGGGGCGTCTGTACATAGGTGGGCACTCAGCACATTGACATCATGAAGCATTAATAGTTGGAGATCTTTTTCCTTTGCCTCCTGATGCCTGGTCCATCCATCCATCCATCCAGTCCTCCCACAGGAAGCCTGTACCCGCTGCTCCTCCAAATGGCTCGGTCATCATTTGCAGTCATAGCCCCCCAGTCTCTCGTCTTCCGCCACATGCATGTCAGCCCCAAATGGTGTCAGGACTGAGCAGAGTTCTCTGTGGTGCAACATATGCTCATTGTTTCTCCACACTTCATCTTTAGTCATGAATCAAAAATAAAAACGGTAGAAAAGCAGAGCACAGGTGGTTAAATATGCTCTTTTATTATTTGTCTTTTTTTTTTTTTCTAACCATCCACAGACCTGCGGGTTCTTCACAGTCCTCTCCTAAACCGTCGGCTAATGGAGCCACGAAGACCTCAGTGCCTTCGTTCATGTCTTCCACTTCCAACACCAGGATTCCTGCGACTCCCGCAGCGTCACGGGGTAAGAACAGGCTCAACTGTACGGCCATTTTGCTCGGTTTCGATGGAACTGAACGAACATTAACTTTCTTCATTTGACATCTTTGTGGATTTTTTCCTCCCTATAGGACTTCAAAATGTCCAGAAAGATCCAGTCACCAATGGCACCAAGGCAAAGACCTCTAAGGTATTTTATTTGAGGTATTTCTCAAGCAGAGATGATAAAATGCTGCCTCTGAAAACAAACGGACTCATGATAAAGGTTTTTTTTTTCTATTTGAGGGTTTCTGTATACAAAATGTTGAGTTTACAAAAAACCTCAAAAATCATCCAAATCTGTAATTAAAATAAATCTGAACAGAACCATTAAAATACTAAACTTTGAGTCAAAGTGTCATGAGTGTATTTTAGTTTGTTATAAAAATAGTTGCGTCATATTTATTACAACTTTTGTTACTAAAGGCTTTTGATATTCTCAGTTTTATACGTTTTTTTTTTAGATTATTGGAGTTAAAATCGGTTATTTCATCAGATTTTCCTCTAACCGCTTTGTTTATGTATTTATGTCACACGTGTAGACGAAACCAGGCTACATCCCCAGGGAGGAAATCATGAAAGAGCTTCAGGAAATTGAAAACAATTTGAACGAGCTGGAGAAGACGGGAATCGAGCTGGAGATGAAGCTGCGCAGGAGCGAGGAAGGTGAAGAAAACAAATCCCAAATATTTATGCTGAGTTTTTTTTTTTTTTAAAGAGGCAAATTTAAAGGGAGACGTGTGTCTAATTAACTTTGTGTGTGAGACACAGAGGGCAAAGATGACTCGGTCATGGATGAGCTTATGGTCGAATGGTTCAGCTTGATCAGAAACAAGCAGGCGGCCATGCGTCGTGAGTCTGAGCTGGTATACATGTGAGTAGACCCCCCCCCCCCACACACACACACACACACTCACACACATATACACAAATAAAAGGGGGCACGCCACTATTTAGTGATTAGTCAAACAGACTTGTGGCCAGAAGGTTGACAGTTTGAGTTCCCAGTGTCCTGCCTCCTCCATCTCACAACAAGAAAACAAGGCAGCTGACAACCCCCCCCCCACCCAAACACACACACACACACACACACTGACCAAACACATATTTAAATCAAGAGGCTGATTTATCCATTCATTTCATTTCACCTCTTTTTAACCAGGCGTAAACACTAAAAACAAGTTCTTATTTACAGAGCCGGCCTGGCAGCACTCTGTGCTTGTAGGTTGAGGAAAGGAAACTAAGGCAAAACCATGACATATAATTTTTAACAAGCAAGGAAACACAAATTACATTGACATTAGTTCATTGTCAAAGTCAAACAACATTACAAAATAACCTTTGCAAGTTTCTTTAAAAACGGCTTTTAAACGATTTTCAAAATAAAAGATCAGACATAATGAAAATGGCTCATTGTCAGGTCATCTGGACAGTTTCTATTTTTTTTTTTTTTGCTGGTGGGAAAAAAATAGAAACTGTCCAGATGACCTGACTGAAAATTGTTGGATTGTATACCTGGATTATTGAGCATAGACTTTGTTCATGTCCACTGGTATACAAGATATTTTGCTAACACACTAGACAAAAAAACACCTGCTGGAATGGGTTTCAAACATAGTTGTTGGACGATGAACCTTTTTTTTTTTTTCCTGAAAATGAGTGAAAAAAACAGTGAAAAACCTGCCCCCCCCCCCAAAAAAAATAAATAAATAAAATAAAATAAACAAAAACCTGAAGAATTATAAATCTAGGCTACTTTAAACATTTACAAGAAAATCAGACGTATTAGAGTCAAACATACAGAAATGAGAAAAGACTTGAGATGTTTGCACAGCACTCTTTGTTGTCTAATAAACAAACGTGTATGTTTTTGTTTGTTCTTTGAATTCAGTGGAAGAACTCAGGACCTGGAGGAAGAGCAGCCCAGTGTGGTGCAGGACCTCAGGAGACTAATGGAGAAACCAGGTGAGGCCTTCAGAGAAACATTTCCAGCTTGGTGTTCTGCAGACACGAGGCTGGCGTCAGAGTAAAAGCTGTGTGCTTGTGCAGAGCACCTGAAGACTGCCTGGGACAGGCAGAAAGAAAAGCAGCTGATGGAGAAGCTGTTGGAGATCGTTAACGACAGAAACGCCATCGTAGAGGGTCTGGACGAGGACAGACTCAGGTGGGTCAGGAGACTGGAGGCGCTGCTCCACGAAGATGATCTGACAGATGTTGCTTTTTTTTTTCTTCTTTTTTGCAAAAATATGAAGCTCCTCAGGTTTTCAGACACATTTTAAATTACCGTATTTTCCACCGTACACGTCGCACCGCCCTATAAGTCGCACCAGTCCAAATATGTCTAATAAAATGGAAAAATTCATAAATGCGTCACTTGGTCGTATACGTTGCATCTATTATGTGACAACACGAAAATGTGGGTCGGTGTTGTGCCAAAAATCGATTGGCTGCCAAAAGGCGGCCGCCGGAGCGTGCATGGGAGGACTTTAACAAGATTAATACCTAAAAACAAATATTTATTTGTTCGAAATTATAGTAAAGTTGTGTTTCGGTCTAACTTTTCCTTAATAAATGCACTTTGACGGTCAAATCAATTGTGTTTCAAAAGTCGATAAGCGGAAGTAGGCGCATGCACGGGAGGACTCGCTGTGCATTTCTTCGAAATTTAACAAGATAACCACCTAAAAACAATTATTTGTTATTCGACTTTATAGTAAAGTTGTGTCTCAGTTGGACTTTTACTTAATAAATGCACTTCAATGGTCAAATTAGCTGCATTTCGCTGGGGCGGTGCAGGCGAGCTGGACGAAGGTGGCAGTCTATGGCAAGCTGATTGTGTCATTAATAGCCACTTTTAAATATTACTTGACACAACGGCATGCCATACTGCTCGAGTGCCATCTAGCGGCTGAAAATGGTAGTGTTCAATATTTTTAGTCTGAATTAATGAAAACTGTCATATCTCAGCCAAAAATTGGTTTATAAATATGGAAAATCCATAAATGAGTCGCTTCAGCGTATAAGTCGCAGGTCATGCAAATTATACAAAAAATCCCCTGCGATAAATAGGCAGAAAAATACTGTAATAGTTCAGACCTTTCAAAGTGGAATTTTGTGCAGAGGTTATGAAACGTCAGTGTCTTACTTGTTGTAGATGGCTCCTTTAGCATTCTCATTTTGGAGAAAAATGGCTACCCGGTAAGTTCTGACCAGACTCATGAGCTTACAGCTGGTCCAAATAAGTCAAAGAGCAAAAGTAAAAGACTCCACTCTCAAAGCTATGTTATCTGTTCATATAAACACTAATCTGTGAACATGAAGTTCATGCTCAATAATCCAGGTAAAAAAATCCAACAAAGTTAAGTCAGGTCCTCTGGGTGGTTTCTTTGTGTTGAAACGTTTCGTCCTTCATCCAAAGGACTTCATCAGTCCGAGGAGCCACAAGAAACTCAGTCCCATAGGTATTACGCTCACACTAATCTGTGAACCTTTACTACAAAAATCAGTTCTCACGAGACGGGTACTTGGCAAAAATGCAGCTGCTGTGGCCAACGTTTTCACTGGAAAATAACACGATTTATTGCAATCTTTGTATTTTATGAATTAATCATGAATATCTGGGTAATGAGAAACTGATGGTGGTGTAGAGACAGAAGCAACTCTCTTTGGCCTCTGCTCGACTAGCCATCCATCAATCCATCTTTACCCGCTTCTTCCTTTCCGTGTCACGGGGGTCACTGGTGCCCATATCCAGCAGTCACTGTGCGAGAGGCGGGGGACACACCCTGGACAGGTCTCCAGTCCATCACAGGGACAAATAGGACAAACAACTATTCACTCTCACTCACACCTAGGGACAATTTAGAGTTACCAATCAGTCTAGCATGCATGTTTTTGGTCTGTGGGAGGAAACGGGAGTAGCTGGAGAAAACCCACACATGCACGGAGAGAACATGCAAACTCCACTCTAAAGGCCGCCGGACGGGATTTGAACCGGGGCAGCCTGCTCGCTGAGAGGCAGCAGCTCCACCAACTGCTCCACCGTGCTGCCCTTGACTAGCCGTTAGCTCATGAATTCTGTCAGAGGTTAACTTTGTCCCCTCAAACTGAAGTCCCTCGAAGAGCTATCTACAACAGATAAGATGTTTACAGTTCATAACCTTTCCACAGTAACAACTTTCAAAGATCTGAATAATTTCTATAAAAGTTGACAAATGTTGTATAATTATGTTTGATCTTGTATTATAACTTTGTGCATGTTCCCACCGGTACAAGCTGCTGTTAATCTGCTCGTTGTTTTATTCTTTCAGGGAGGAAGAGGAGGACGAGCAGCTGAACAAAATGATGGAGAGTTTCAGTGAGTGTCTCTCCACCACCTCCTCCCTTCATTATGTCTTTTAGTTCTCATGACCTCAGAGCCACTGCGACTTATCTGGCTCGTAAATGACCAAATTCAGGATTTTCGTCATGCACGTCATTAATTGAAGTAGAAACAATTCTCACTGTGGTTTATGGAAGTTTGTAAGTGTGTGTGTGTGTGTGTGGGAAGGTGTGATGCATTTTCAAAGGTGCCACAGTTTTTGTTTCATCTCGTTTGATCCGATGTCAGCTAATGGAAAAAAGCACGAGACAAAACGCTTCCCTCTGGTTGTTTTTTCTTTCTTTTTTCTGTTCAACAAATGGTTTATGCACCAAGTTAATGTGACCCTCTGATAACTCTGTGATAAAACGGAGTCCAAGCCCGCTTCATTTGCAATTCATGATTGTGAACGTGGAGCTGAAATTGAGGAGATTTATTGAACTTCAGTGAAAGGTCGTTATGTTTCAGCGAGCGAACGTCGACTGTGGGTTGAAGATGAGCCATTTTGCTTTAATGTATTCAATAAGTTAACGCCAAAGTTTCATTGTATGTTTTCACTCTGACACATTGTGTTTTTTTATGTCTGGTCGTCTTGTTCTTGTTCTTGTTCTTGCTCTTATTTATTTATTTTTTTTTGCTGTTCTTGTTGTTCTTATTCGTGTTCATACTCTTGTTCTTCTTCTTCTTTTTCTTCTTCTTGTGTTTGTTCTTTTTTTCTTTTACCTTGTTCTTTTACCTTCTTTTTTGTCTTCTTCTTCTTTTACTTTCTTAGACATCAAGAAAGACAAAAGCAAGAAAAAGTCCTCCGTGCTGAAACTGTTCGGCTGGGGAAACAAGAAGGAGGAGTGAAACAAACTGTCTTACTGCGACGCTTCTGCTGCTTACTGTCAGCGTGCCCTGATTCATCGAATGACACGGACGCTGCGTGTGACTGTGTGCGCGTGTTTGTGAGAGAGATCTGTCATCGTCATCACTTCCTAAAGAATGCCCTTCCCTCTGTCGACTGCATCACTCAAGATCTGCCATTCCTCCTGCCTGCTGCAGTAACACACACACACGTGCACACACACATGCATGTGCACGCGTGATGTTGGAAGGTTAATGACTCACTAGTCAAGAGTGTGGTTGGGTTCAGCACTCCAGTTGTTCAGTTTTAATCTCCTTTTCCTCCTAATCTGCCCGTTTTTTCACCCCCCCCCCCCCCCCCCCGATTCTGTTTCCTTCCATCTTCTTCTGCAACTTATTGAAATGTAGGTCGTAACTAACCTTGATGTAAACTGGAGTCAAACAGGGAGTTTTAACTCCGAGGCCATCCAGAACACAAAGCACTTGAGACTAAGCTGCTTCATAAATTTAACGTTCATCTTCTCTTTGATGTTCCTCACTTTTAACTATTTTTCGTGTAGAATAAACTCTGACTTTTATTCTTGGACCGTAACTATTTTTTCTCAGAATGCTTCCTTTTGATATGTTATTTACGCTCATTTAATTTTTTAAACCTCTTCTCTCGACTCCCCATCAAAGGTCTCAAAATGATTCAACACTCTGCAGAAACTCTAAACCACATATGATTATTTTGTTTTGTTGTCATATTCAGTTCAGCTGCCACAATCTTTAAGTAAAGGGATTTATGGTGAACACCCTCTGTATCTTTTTATTTTTTTGCGATAACATCCCAAACAGCCGTCATATCCACAGATATTCCTAAACTCCTATACATAAACAAATAAACTATTTAAATTATTATATTTTATTTCCCTGGATGACATTTCTTTCCAATAGTGCTTCTGAATGTGAAGTGTTTTCATGGCTAATGTAAGAAAAAGGATGAATCTGGTTTGTCACGTGACTCATTTCACATATTTTGATTGTTTATGAGTCAAAGGATGTGGTTCACATTGAACCTTAATTTTTCACTATTTGTAATATTTCCCAGATGAATAAACTATATAGCGTTTATTAAATATTGGATATTATTTTATGACCAAACGGTTCACTTTTAACAGAATCCGTTACATGTAAGCTAAAGATTTTACTTTAATTATTGTCCTGATTTTCTTGCTGTTTTTATTAAATAAACTGCTGTAATATTACTTTTACTTTATTAATAAACATGTCCCTTTGTTCAGTTATGTTGTTCATCCTGGTTTTGTTTTCTCACACACAAAAATCACATTTATAACCAACTATTTAATTTCATGTTCTGTATGAACACACACTGATTCAGCACCACTGGGCAGTTGTTTCTGCATTAATGATGCTTATGGTTTTACTGTGCATTCATCAGATTCCCTTGTTTACGATTTGTAAGCTGCAGTGTCGCCAAATAACCACTAGGCGGCAGCATGCGACTATTTCTTCTCCCATTTAACAGTTTTAAAATCACAGATTAGTGATAAATCACAAACTCTGTCACACAGATGGAAATGTATCACTTTTTAAATCTATATTCTTAAAAGAAAATGTTCATGATTTTTGATTTTTCCCAGTTCTGTCATCACAGCAGACACAGTGGACATGTTTGGACCTTTTTAAGTCCTATTTAAAACATTTAGCATATTTAGCATACATTTTGTGCCCTTCCTGAACTTTGTTGGACACCAAAGTTTAGCTCAATATCAGTAAAATTAGACAAGTTTTAGCATCTTTGTGATCTTTAGGGTTTGCTGGCTGTGGCAGCCATCTTGAATTGGGTAAACTCCAAAATTGGCCTCGTTGCAGTTTTTAAAAGTTCTGTACCTCAAACTTTAAGACAAACTCAAACCTGTGGTCAGTCCCAACATTCCTCCAAATACACTTGGTGGTCTGTAATAAAAGTTGTACAAAAATGCTTTTGTCACTTTTTATCCCCTAAAACTGGAGAGCAGATCAGATTTTAAAGTAAACTTAAAATCAAAGTTGAAATTTCTAAACTTTTTTAAATCAAATATCAGCTGAAATCTTATGTTTCTTCCTCTTTGTATCAGTCAGGTCACCTGGACAGTTTCTTTTTTTTTTTTGCCGAGATGTTCATCCTTCATCCAAAGTGTTTCATCAGTCCGAGGAGCCACCAAACCGAACTGCGTCCCACAAGCGGCACACTCACATAGTGAGAAAAAAAAACAGTTTGGGAGTGTGCTGCTTGTGGGACTCGAGTTTGTGGCTCCTCGGACTGATGAAGTGCTTTGGATGAAGGACAAAACGTCTCAAAAAAACAAAATCGTCCAGATGACCTGACTGAACTTTGTTGGATTTGAACCTGGATTACTGAGCACTTTACTTTGATGTTTTGACCCACTTTGGTTATGGCTGCCTCAGAGGAGTTGATAGGGGAGAGGGTGAGCCCCAGAAACCATCTTATCACCAGCAAACTGTTTTGTTTCCACTATGGGAGTGTGCTGCTTGTGGGACTTGTTTGTTAGTGGCTGCTCGGACTGATTAGGTCCTTTGGATCAAGAACGAAACATCTCAGCATAAAAAGAAACCGTCCAGATGACCTGACTGAACTTTGTTGGATTTGAACCTGGATTACTGAGCATGAACTTTGATCAACTTTGGTGTGGTAGTAATTGAGACTGATCCCCAACTTGTGCTTCGAGTGCTGTCAGTTCTGCACAAGATCTTTAACATTTTGTCATGAATCATTTAAACAATCATTAACTGTTGGTCGGGTTCCAATGAAACTTTCACAAAGTGACCAGTAGATGTTCATCTACAAGTAAATAACGGAACCAGTTCATTTCAAGATGGTCGCCGCTGCTAACCAACATGTCAACACAACAAGAATATAACATATTAGGCCCATCTCAACTACTTTGGAGCACCGTTTGTACTTTGACTAAAGTTATTTACAAGAATCACCCAACTCTGTCACTTTTCAACAAAGAAGAATCATAATGTGAAACTTTAGCATGAAAGATGGTGGTGGGTGATGCTCGTTCCTTCAAGTAACATTGCGCTTTTAATTTATTCACATTTTTAGACAATAACTTTGCAGCCAGGTAGTGCAATGATTTTTTAAATAAAGCTACAGATGAAGAAGTGCACTCAAAAAAAAGACTCGGATAAACAAACGCAGGGATAATTTCTCTGCTACAGTTTATTCTTAAACAGGAGAGGGGGGCGAAAAGAGCGGAGAACTAGATGTTTAGCTTGTTTTTTTGTTCTTTCAGTTTAATGTGTTTCAGTGTGAAAATACAGAATGGTGTAATCTTTCTTTCTCTAAAGGCAACATCTGTTCCTGTTGTTATGTGTGAAAACGTTTGTTGATTTCTGCCTCAGACCGTGCTGAAATGTTCCGTCACCGCACCGCTGTGCGTCTGAATCAATCACGTCTCGGCCCAACTTGGGAACGTGTTTATCTTTGGAGGTAAAGCCTTGAAGTCGACCCGACGATGTGCAGTGAGAATAATGCAGGGGAGCGGGCTGTGAACGGGCGTTCTGTGGTGGGTCATTTACATAACACACTGAGCCCTCACATTATTCACACAGACTTTTAAACAGTTTCACGAGTGTTGGCCAAGCTCGAATCTGTTCTGTCACGATGTGATTGATCCATTCATGGCTCGTATCCGTTTGATTCATAGCAAAGTTGTATTTTTTTTTTTTTTTTTCCATGAGCAAACCTCAAACTTGCAGGTATTGTAGTTTCACACACATTTCTGCTTGTTTCCTCACTTTTTAAAGGCTTAAAGGAAGCTGTGTTCCTAATTTGAAACACTAATTTCTGATTCTTCAGCTCTCAGAAGTAAAGCTGCGCTCACCTCAGAGCCTCGATGCCTCGTCGCTCGATTTCCCTTCAAACTGTTTGTGATTTAACATTTCCCCCCGCTGCTTAGGATGTTTAATCTTTTGAAGCAGATAAAAAAATGTTTTGATATATTTTCTTTAAGTTTAACAAAAAGCCAACGTTACTTCAGTATTTGATATCTTTTTGATATTGAATGTATATGATGCATGATGAAGCATAACATTTTACAAATGCATATAAATATAAACTTGTGTCAGTGATTTGAATACGTTTTTATTGTTTCATTGTGTGAAGCATTCACACTATTGTGATCCCTTTTTCTTCCGTACATTTTTCAGCATCTTTCTCCTTCAAAAATGTTTGTGCTATTTCAATATATCAAACCGTTCAGCTCGTTCAGGACAATCCTGCTACGACTTTTGGCATTGGTGAAACTTTAGCTTTTTGAAATATTTAGCTTTTTCTGACTTTTTTTTCCCCTCATAGAAAATGAATTGAGCTGATTTTACATGCTTCAAATCTTTAGATGTGTTTACAACCTTTCACTGCTCCTCTCACATTTTGTTCTGCTTCAGCTTCTTTCAGTTTCCTTGTGCAGATTTTATCTTTTTTCAGCTACTTGCAGCTGTTTTCTTTTTTCAACTGTTTTGTGCTCTTTTCAGATTCTTTCTGCTAATTGCAACATTTTTGTGCTTCTTTTAACTTCTTTCTGAAAATTTCAGCTCATTATGCTCCTTTCATCTTTCTGCAAGTTTCAGTTTTTTCTACTATTTCAGCTACTATTTAGCTGTTTTTATTCTAATTTTAGCTTTTTCAGCTAAGCTCACATTTTTGCACTCATTTCAACTTTTTTCAGCCTAAATGAGCAAAAATGTGCTCTCTCCACTTCCTTCGGGTAATTTAAACTTCTTTCTGCTTTTATAGCTATTTTTCAGCTTTTTTCAGATAATTTCCATTTCTTTGTGCTCAGCATGGACTTTGGTGTTCTTTGTGCTCATTTCTGCTACTTTTAGCCTAATTCAGCAAACGTATTTTTTTCTGCTTTCTTCTGCTAATTTAAGTTTATTCTACCCTTTTAGCTACTGTTTTTTTTTTTTTTTAGCATTTTTTAAGCTAATGTCAGAACTTTTTCAAATAAATTAGTTTTTCGTGGTAATTTCGGCTACATTCAGCCTAATTCATTTCTTTCTGCTAATTTCAGCTTATGTTCAGCTGATTTCTGCTAGTTTCAATTGTTTCAGCTGTTTTATGCTAATTTTATTTTTTCAGTTATTTCCACATTTTTTTGCATTAATTTAAAC